CAGAAAACATCTGAGAGTTTAAAAGGTCACCTTCTAGCTTCTAGGCTGTTGGGGTTTACACTACCCTCCACCTCCTTCCATGCCCTTCCACAGGGTGTTGACCGGCTCTTGCTCCTTGAACAGGGCTCACATCTCCATTCTGAGCAGCCCTTTAAACTACCGTGGTTCACTTTAAAATGCTCGAGGCCCCTCTATACATTTTCAGCTTACCTACACATAACATTTGTTATGCCCTTTAACAGGTGGAGGACCCTTTATACTCTTGTAGGGCCCTTTAAACTATTCACAGATACTCTACCAGATGTAGAGGCTTGGGGACTCTCTTAGCTCAAACAGGGTGCATCCATTGTGTGCTTAGTGCTCTATTGACTAATTAACTGATAAATGTCTCAGCGTCAATACATGCTCCCCTATTAGTGTGCACAAATGTAATAGATTTCACATGAGGGTAGGACTTGTAAATACAGGCCCTACCCTGCTGCTGAGTTCTTTATCATGCACAGAAGAGGAACATGTAGATGAGAAGCCAGCTGTCTGGATCACAAGGGTGATTCAGTGCACGGCCTGCCTGCCAGCTAGCCAGTCACTGAAGCATCCACTTACCCCAGCCAGCCCCTCCACACCACACTGATCCTAGTCACATCAGCCCAAGACTGGCAGGCTGACCCCCCTGTGCCTCCTGGCAGCTGTGGCATCTGTGACCCAGCTCGGTGCACTGTGCTCCAAGCACATGTTAAACCAAGTACCCAGGAGCTTCCTGGGAGCAATAAACTGCAGAGTAATACATTCCACAGTTTATGCCTGCCCACTAATGGCCTGTGTAGATGTGCCCACAGTCTTTTTACAAAGTCTCACTCAGACTCTATACACAGCTTAGTTTTTTGTTTTTTTTCTGAGTTTGCTGGCTTGTCAGGAAATGCAACAAATGTCAGTACCCCATAACAAAATCTTAACATAGTCCAGACAAAGGAGCCTCATATACCTGAGTCCTCTCAGGCCCTGAGAAGGTGCCTATGGCTTCCTGAACTTCTCTTTCTGTGTTCCTACTCAGGTGATCTTTTACTCGGTTCTTTGACATGATTCTGCTGCTACGCATATTGCAGCCCAGGGTTTCTGTCTCTCTCTGTTCCTTGCTCTCATACTTAGCTCTCAGCTCCCCTCTCTTGCTCTCTTCTATCTCAGTAATCTCTAGCTCCCTTCCCTAGGAGCTTTCAACTGCCTGTGATCAGCCAGTTGTCTGCCTAAACTGACCCAGTCCCTGGGTGGACCTGTGATTAAGTTTGACAGGATGCAGCTGCCTGTAGTCCTGACAAGCCTTCAGATTCCTCCATCCTGGAGTGTACAGTCTGCTGCTAGCCTTTGCCTGTTACACCTACCATCACAGTTGACAGCTACCCCTCTCCCCCCCCACCCCATAGCTCTGTTCTCAGTCCTGGCTTTATCCACTTACCTATTCAGCTCCAAATGTCACACTGATCCTCATATCTTCTCGCCAGGTCAGCGTCTCTCCAGCCCCATCTCTTAGCTTTCATTCCAATCCTCCCAGAACTCCATAGCATAATCCCGTCTATACTTCTAATTCCTCTACTTTGCTCCAGCTCTAGTCATATTAGGACCACTGGAATTCAAACCCAAAGCAGTCAAGCCAAAAGGCAGAGGCAGAGCCAAGGCAGCTGGTTGGACCCAAGCCCCTGATCAGCCTGATCCTTTTCATGAGGATATTGATGAAGAGTCAGGTGACAAGGAGGAACCTATGGGAACTGCAAGCCCCTGGCAAGAAGACCTAAACCCCCTCCTACTACCTGTGGGATTGGTCCCAGCAAGAACATTTTTGTGTGTTTCTTGCCATGCTCTTAGCTGACCCCAGACTTACCAAAATCTCTGCACCTGAATCACTTGGACCTCCCAGTTCTGATGTACCATCTGCCTTAATCATGCTACTGCCTCAACCCTCAGACCGATTACTCAGATTGCAATAGATACCTGGAGTGACCCCAGCCTGCCAAAGGAGTAACTCATTAAGTCACCACCCATAGCCCGATCAGTCCTAACAAGTTCCCATAACTTGCACACAATCTCACTCCTGTCTACCTCCCAAATGCCTCCAATTGAACATGCATCTCACTCCCTTTCTGTTTTGTTAAACCTTCTGCTTCTGTCCCCTCATTCTCCTATCAGTTCCGTGCTACAGTCTGCTCACTTTAGCCTCCCTCCTCTCATACAAATAGAGTAGGGAGAAACTAGGAACCATAATATTTGTTGCAATTTTTCAGCCAGTCCATGTGTGGGAGGGGAGGGGTGAGACAGATTTTGTGTTGTCAGGATGACATCATAGCACACAGCTGAAATGTTCTCCCTGCTGTGTCTTTTCTTCTCCAACATAGACACCTAGTTTGTTTGTTTGTTTGTTTGTTTTTAAATGGAAAGTCCTTTCTTCATGGGCAATAGGGAAAACATCATTTTCCAAGTTACTTTTTTGGATACAGGAACAAAAAAACCCTGTAGGCCTATATTCTATTTCACTACTAAAGCGCCTAGGTTGTATATAAAATATCTAAATTCAAATAGTCAAGCCAAGTTGTGTCCCCAAAACAATACTGATACAAAGGGTACATTGCTAAAAGAGAGATTTGGGTGGTCCTGCTGCCATCAGCATTATGAAATGTAATCATAAAATTATGGTGAAGGTGTATTATAAAAGTTGTCCCATTAAACATATTTCAGAGGCTTAATCAGGGTGGAATAGGATTGTGGTTGGGTAACTTAGATGAAACAGAATTTGGTGATTAGTGAGAAAATACTTTTTAGGGGCTTGCTGATGATGGTACATTTCTCACTTCTGATCTTATTGAATTTTAAAAGAAAGTAGTTACTACTGTCATGGAGTGCACTTGTGTAGTAATTAATGTGGGGAACGTTTTCAACTGTAAAACAGAATGAGGCATTGGGGGTTTCAGAAGCCCCCATTGGATTCAAGAGTTTTACACAATTTATCTGGTCCCGATGGCACCTCCCTAGTAGGCAAACTTCATAATCCACTTCTCCAAATCACCTTAATATCATAGGACTCCTATATTTGGTTAGCATTTCATTTTCCACTGAGGAGAATAAAAACAGGACACACTCCCATTCTTGGTATAGTCAAAGTTGGGCATTCTTATTAAATTATTGCTTTGGAGTCTTGTATGGTGTGGAGATTCTCCTGGGTGAATGTTTCTGCAAGATCTGGGTGTTTCCAAAGTTGGAGAACATACTGTACTCTATTTTGGGATCTCAGGCCCTGTGCCTACCCTACCTCCTGATGGAGGTCCAATATACCCCAAGGTTGTTTCCCATACGGGAATTCAAATGGGGAGAATTCTGTTGAGGATTGGGGAACTTCCCAGAGTGGAAACCATAAATAGGGCAAAAGTATATCCCTCTTGCAGGGTTCTGCTGCCCCAAACTTCCTTGTCAGCCCATTTACAGTCTGATTTTACCTAGTCTGTGAGAATTTGTCATGCGAGAGTCACACATGACAATATCTTTCAAAAGTGTACTGGACATTACACACAAGTCCTCCAGGGCTTTTTGGGATTATAAGGGCAATGCAACAGCAATTTAGACATATAAGGCAATAATATGCATGACGAATGGCTACATCAGCTAGTAGTGTCACCCTAGGGCACGTATGAACTGCCATCTTCTGCAGCATGGAATTGGAAGCCTGAGGGCCTCAGTCAATGGTTGGATGTACGCACAAGGCTCTTGTGAAAGTAAGAGGAAAGGAATTTATCTCTGTGCCTTTCATGGCTGAGTAAAACAAAGTATGACTCAGTCCATTTCTAATGTGAGGTGATCTGATAACAGTGTATATAGACCTTGACCAACAGAAAATACAAGGCACCAAATACCAGTGTGCCTTAGTAGAGAGAGACAAAGCAAAAAACTGCAGTTGGAAATAGAAACCAAAGACACCCAAAACAAATAAGCCTTGATCTTTAATATGGAAGTGAACTGAAAAGTGGGGTAAACATCCAATGGAAAAGTTGGTCAAGAGTTGACTTTTTTCATGTCAAGAAGGGATGACTTTCTGGAAGAAATGTTTTAGTTATACAATAAATTGGGCTCAACACAGGGTTTATGGAGTGATATCTAACTGCCGGTGACCACAGATATTATACTTGTCTTCTGAAAAATCTAATGTTAACCCTATAGATTGAATCCAAAAGGAGATTTGGGTGTCTCTTTTTGAAGTAACCTGTAGTCCAGTAGATTACATGCCTAGAGTTGGACACTTGAATTCCTCAAGAAGTAATAGAGTACCTAATTGTAATATCACAATGGCCATCATGTTAAAACAGGAGCCACATTAGCTACCCAGTGGAAAATTCTGAAAAGATCATCAAATCTTGGGTCTCACAACTCTGAGAGAGGAATTTAGTTGTATTTAGTTTGAAGCCAGATAAAAGTCAGGGTACAAGTACACCTTATAGACTGCATAAGAGATGTGAATTCAAGCAATGGGACCACACTTAAAACCATCTATTGTATTGTATTGTTTAAGGATAAAACCAAGTGGTAACTTGCATAGACTGTGACTGGTTTTTTGTTTGTTTGTTTGTTTGTTTTCTGGTTGAATATACAAATTCAGCATGGTAACACTTGGCATCTGATTACCACCACCCCCAAGTCAATGCTCTAACAGGATCAAAGACTCATTCTCACTCCAAAAAAACAAAAATTGAAAAAATGGAAAACCAAAAGTGAACTGTTTCATATGCTCTCAGCAACAGGTTACTTCACCTGCATTCATGCTTTACATGCATCTCTACTGCTATAGTGACTTCCAAAAAGTTCGTATTGAAGAGGACCATGACAGTGGAGACATTCCTATCATTAAGAGAATACTGAATTGTTTATTGACTAAATGACCATACCACCCTGTTACATGACATCAGAATATTTAAACCACCAATTCCCATAAGGGTGTGACATCCTTTTCAAAAGTTGAAATACATTCACAACCCTTTCATTTTCTGCAGTATATTCCCCAGAGCTACTTTTACCTCTTTGTTTCTCAGGCTGTAGATGATAGGGTTTAACATGGGAGTTAAGATACTGTACTGGATGGAGAAGAGTCTGTCAAGAATGACTGAAGAGGCTGAATTAGGTCTCAGATATCGAAATAAAGCAGCCCCATAATACAGAACAACCACAGTGAGGTGGGAACTGCAGGTAGAGAAGGCTTTACCCCCACCTTCAGCTGAGGGTATCTTAAGGATGGTGGAGATGATGCAGATGTAAGAGACCAGGGTGATGGAGAAAGCGGTTAAACCTAAAACTGAAGTGAGAAGTGTCATTTTACAGATGAAGGTCTCTGTACAAGACAGTTCTAGTACAGATGGGAGCTCACAACTGAAATTATCAATTTCATTGGGCCCACAAAAATGTAAATGTAATACAGGAACAGTGTTTGTTAGTGCATGAAAGATGCTGATCAGCCATGTACCACCCACTAGTCTTATGTGGACTTGCTTATTCATGGTCCTCAAGTAATGCAGCGGGGCACAGATGGCAGCATACTGATCATAGGCCATTGCTGATAGCATAGAAATTTCTGTGCCAGACACCAGAAGAATTAAGCTCATCTGGACAAGGCAGCCATCAAAAGAAATGGTTTTCTTATCTGCCAACAAATTCTGCAGCATCTTTGGAACAGTGACTATAGAGTAGCAGATGTCAATGAAGGATAAATGTGTTAGGAAAAAATACATAGGGCTGTGAAGGTGAGGTTCATATGTTATCACCATCATGATCGTGCCATTCCCCAACACAGTTAATAGGTATATTAGTAGAAACACCAGAAAAATGAAAGGCTGGAGCTGTGGGTCACTGGAAACACCTGACAGAACAAAATAGCTGACAGCCGTCTTGTTCTCCATGGCCATTTGTTCACCAAACCCTGGACCTATAAATAGAAACAAATAAATAAATAAAACAATTTCCATGAAGAAAGTGTACTTTTCCAGTTCTGGGTGAGGACACCTCTATGTAGAGATTTTTTTTTTTCCATTTTGTCTAAACATCAGTTTCCAAATATCTTTGAAAAAAAAAAAAAGATTTTTGTGGTACCCATCAGTACTGGAAAAAAATAGCTCTCTCAAATCTTTGACTTTCATCTTGCTTTTAGTTTATTTCTTCAGTGTCTTCGTCTGGTATAAAATCCATCTCCTACTTCTTTCCTCATGATGGCAGGCCAACAAGTTTAAAGAAATGTCATACTTTCTCAATAAGAGAACTATGGAAGTGGAAGGGCAGAAAAGGGGATATACTGAAGGATGGAGAAAACAAAAAATGGTTTATTTTTATTTTTTATTTTGCCGGGCTAGAAGCATGGTGTTCTTAAAAAAACCCTGAAGTGATGATGACGTTGATTATGACAACTATATGCTAAACTGGCATATTTGCAATATTTCAAACATGACACCTTCTTAGTATCTAGGCAGTAACTATTTCAATCTATAATTTAAGTCGCAGCCTAGTGATTAATCAGCTATGAGTTCATTAATATGGGCACTGAAAACAAATGGAGTGTTTCTTTATCCACTATAGTTCCACAGCATTCAAAAAACCTCAGTCCAAGTTTTCACAAATGCTTCTTATATTGAGACAACTTCCCAGCACAGAGCTGCCTCTTGAAGGACTTAGTATCCCACTGAAATTCCTGCAGGATACATGACCAACAAATTCTAAGCCTGAGGGTCATATTACAAAGCTGTGCTATCTGGCACTTTACTAATCGTCATGTTGTATTAATCATCATCCTGATCAATGTGACAAAAGTGAAACCGGAAGTCCCTCTGTGGCACTTCCAGTTTCACCAAGTCCCACGGCCTGGGGCAAAGCAGCCTTCCTCTCCCCCTTCCTCTCCCCCAGCACGCTGACGCATGGCAGGAGGGGTGCCAGCCTGAATAGATAATTTTGATTAACCAGCATTCCACATTGCCCCTGGATGCTGGATAACACAGTTTGTACATTTCAACTTCAATCATCCTAGAATTGTTTACATGTCCAAATGTAGCTTCATGAGAGGCCTGTTGACATGCATGCAGATTTGAGATTCTATTTCCCCTTCCAGGAAAGATGGGAGCAACCAGGTAGGTACATCACTACATAGCATTTGCTGATAGCGTATTCTAAGAAAACTTTTTAATATCGGAGGAGGAAGATTTTGCCGCCCAACAGCCAAATCATAGAACTACTGCTTGAGGGGAGTCAATTTCTTTGTCAGGTAAGTGGGGTTTTAACCTAATCCTCAACTTCAGTGATTTTGTATTGAACCAAACAAACTGAATTACTCCCTGATCAGTCTCTGCTATTGTCAGGATTTGGTATGAACCTCCTAGAGGCAAGTCCTTTCCCCTCCCCTCCCCCCATGTCTTTAAATGAACCTACTATATAGACTGGAGAGGTTTTGAACAACATTTGGGGCATGAAGTGGTGTGAAGAAGGGCACTCAATACCTGAAAGTGAGTCCAACATCTCTCCCAGCTGTACATTTGGTCCAACCCTAAATTTCCCCAAAAAAGGATTGCCTCTCAGACATGGACCATCACAGCTTTAGAAGGCTCCAGTCCTACTCCATGATCTGCCTGGACACTAAACATCCTTATTTGTAGGCTAAACTAAGGTCTGCCTCTTCTACTGTTGGCCACAGGGAAGAGCTCCTTCTTTCATTGTGATAGTTTTGAACACTGTGGTGATACTCACTGTACATCAGAGTAGAGGGAAGCATCCTATGAACTGACAGAGCCTGGATATAGATGAAAGAGTGGAATTTCCAAGAAAGAGAACAGGAGGCATATTGTGTAATATGGGGGGGCGGAGTATAATGGTCTAGTGCAGTAAAGAAGGGACCAGATGGACATTTGTAAAAGTTCTCATTAGAGGAGGAATAGTTCACTCTGAACTACAGGGAAATTAGAATCATAGGGTACAATAAGGAGCCAAACTGAATAGTTAGCTTTTTAGCTAAAAGTCAATCAATAAATAAATACAAATAATATCTGAAAGGAAGTCCAGGGCACATCCATTTCTTTTTTTTTTAGTTGAAAAATATAGGGAATTATTAAAGAAACCAGGTTTGACCTTTATCTTCAGACATCCTTGTGCCCTACACTGTGTAACCTTGGGGAGGAGGCTGCAAATTCTGAATTCCCCATGACTGCATGTACAGTGTGACTTCAAAATGAGTATCACATATTACATATAAATACAAAAGAAGAAACTCACCAACAGTGAAAACAAGATTCAGGAAATACAAGTCGTCAATGCTTCCTACCTCCTTCTTCTCTTCTATAAGATTGGGAGTGAGAGAAGAAAGAGAGAGTGTATATCAATTTCATACCTGAACTATTTTTAAATAGGGTAACCAACTGCTGCTCTGCTGAATAAAACCATCTTGAACTTTATGGGTGGGAAACATCCAAAGCAGAAATGACTCTGATGTATTTGCCTCAGTTCTATATAACCTGGTAGATTTAATTATTTATTTATTTATTGAGGCTTAGATGGCCAATTAGTTGTTAAGAAATTATGTTTGGTCCCTTTGGGACCTGGTCTTGACATGATTATCTTCCCTGTCTATGAGATCAATTAAAGAAAAAGAACTGTTCCAGATAGCATTACCATCACTCCTGTCATGCAGCCTGTGGTGGGCCAGTAGGGGGCGCTCCTGCATTAAGCCACCCACCTCCCTGTGCCTGAACACCTTCCAAGCTCCGAGTGCCTCCCTAGGGGCGCCTCGCGTTTGGCCAACCCCCTTCCTGGAGCGCACCCGCTAGCCTGGGGATAGAGCTTCCACCACCCAGAGCTCTGGACTTAATTCGGGCTCTGCGCACTCTGGGAAACACAGGCCTAGTAGCCCTCAAGGGGACTTGATTCACTTCAAGAAGTTGGGATGCTTCCCTCAGTCAGAAGCACAAGTAGTGGTCTCCCTTAGTCAGCCGAACCAAGGGGACCCAAAGGCATAATCTAGACCCACTCCCAATAAGTCTCCCACACTAGGTACAAAGGAGAACTTTATTGGTTACAGAGGGTAGGGTTAGAATAGGGTACAGGGGAGAGCATTAACAGAGAAATCCCATAGAGCAAACTCCTGTGGCTGGGGTAGCCTTTCATCTTGCATCTGAGTTACTGCAAGCTATATATATCTAGTTGGATCTCAGGTAGCTTACTCTCAAGTGTCATCCAGAGGCAGTTGGAGAATCCCTCTGGAGGCAGGTGGTTCCTTGATCATGAGTTTTGAGAGAGAGAGCCAGTTTCAGATGGTACAGCTCTTCTTTTTTCCTGAGTAACCCTCATGGCTGCTGCCCTCCTCCCAGGCAGTCCTTAACTTACATAGCCCTTGTGACCTAATTTACCTGGTCCAATGGAGGTCAGCACCTGTTGGCTGTCAGCCAACCAGTTTGAAATACATCACTAGTTGCCGGGCAGACTCTAGCCCACCAGGGAGGAAGCCCCTCACCCAGGTATGCAATACTAGTCACGTAGGCAGAGGGAGCAGGTTTCCCCTCTCCCTCAGGAATGTATCCAGCTCAGGTTACCTAAAGAGATAAGGTAAGCATGTCTCTCTCGGCTGGGACCATCCTAATTAAAATTGTCACCGAGCTGAGTTTTTGGGAGGGAAACACAGGTGGCTTTCTGCCACACAGCCCAGCATGACCAGGGAGAAAAAAGCTGTCCCAACACCCCAAGTGAATGTGCACATTTGGGATTTTCTCTCACCTTAACATGACTGGCTTGGAAATATGCATGTGGTATGGCACCACTCAGTGCTGTGGTGAGTCATTCTGTGCCTGCTCCCTGCAGACTATCTCCTAGACCAAGTGCTGTGTAACCTTAGTGTTGTGCGACATACCCCAGTGCTGCCCGTAAAATGTGTGGTGTGATATGCTTGCAATTTCAGTATCTTTAGAATTATTTTTAATATTGTCATGAGTCTGTGTGGGCCGGGAGCGACCCGAGCCCTTTTCGCGCTGCACGCGGGCTGTGGCCAGCAGCCCGGGCACGCCGGGGCGGAGAGGGAAGGCCTTCGAGCTGGAATTAGGCACGGACGCGTAGCGGTAGTTTAAAAGATTGTTTACTTACACCGAGATGGCAGTGGTGTAGGCTGGAAAGCTTGATTAAGTTGCAGTTACAGACAGACAACACAGACGGTCTCGTGGAGGTTGCTAGGCTCCACGGTGCAGAGCTCCGGATGCTCTGGGTGAACGAGCCACCAAAATAGGAATCGTAAATACGTCTTATAAAAGTTGCGTTCGAAGACGGGAAGAGGTGGGCGGTGGATCAGGCCGCCACACTCCTCTGGATCTCACACAGGGTTTCTATTACCCTGCCGTGTACCCAGAGTCCCCACGAGATGGATGTGGAGTCCTCTTCGGCTTGGGTGGAAACCGCTCAAGCCTCTTATACGGCTAACAGGCCAATCGTTAGCCGCCACGTGTGAATAATAAAGCACTAGCCAATCACGGGAAACGAATCTGCATACTAGTGGCGGGAACTCTTCTGCACCGTGCATTCCTCTTGCAACATGAGCAATGCACCCTGCAAAAGAAGCTGCAGAAAAGGCGGGAAACTCGTCCCTGCACCGGGGTTTCCTCTTGCTACAGGAAACTCTCCCGTGCAATGCTCTGCAACTTGACGGGGATAATTCTGGTGCCGAAGCACACACACAATCATGCCTTTTGGGTCATGACAGAGTCATTCACCTTGCCAGGTTGATTTCTGCCTTGCAAGACCATGTGGTCCAGTTTTGTTAAAATCTCAATGCTAGAAATCAGTTTCAGTAATCCAAAGAAGTATTGTTACAGACCACATTTAGTGAAATCATATTAGGTCTTTTCACCATGAATATACCTTGGTATGTCACCTCAGGTAAAAACTGTGT